GCTCAGCAGGGCTTTGCTGGGTTTGGTGCAAAGGCCAGGACAGGGGGAGGGGATGCGGCTGCCAACCCGGTAGGTTCTTGTTCAAACAAGTGGGCCACCTCAGAGGCACAAATGAGAAGAACACAGAGGAAAGGAGGTTGGTGAGACTTCAAGACAAGTACTGGATGAAAGATAAGATGGGGAAATAGCATGCCTAAAAACAGGAAAAGAAAATGGGTAAAGATCAGAAGAAAAGAAGAGTGGCCTCTGCCTACCAAGCATACCCTGGGTCTCTGAGCACTTTAACCTGGGGCAGCAGAGGGAAGCCGCGCTCTCCCAGTGTCTGTCTCCATAATCTTTGGCTAAGGGCAGAATTGAGTCCTCCAAAATTCAGACACTGAAGCCAGACCCCATTATCTCAGGCGGCGTAGTGTGGAGAGTTAGGGTCTTTACAGAAGTAATCATTAAAATAGGTCATGTTTATCACGCTCTAACCCAATGTGATTCTGGTCCTCAAAAAAAGAGATTAGGACACAAATACACACAGAACTCCACGTGAGGACACAGCGAGACGATCACCACCTGCAAGCCAAGGGCAGACTTCCAGAAGAGACCAACCGTATAGACACCTTAACCACGGAATTTCCTGCCAGGAGATCTGTTTAGAAGATGAAGCAGAACAGGTTCAGTGCTGTCTCCTCTGAGTGTTTAGATCTAGACTATCCCTCAGAAGTCTCCTGTGCCCAGAGGTGGGGCTCGAGGGAGGTGGTTGGATTTCGGGTGGTGCACACATCCATGGGTCCATCAGTTGTCCGGTTCCTAGCTGCGTGTGCTGTGAGGAGGGGGCCTGGTTGTTGGAAGAGCTGGGTCTGTGAGCATGCGTCTTTGGAGAGCAGCCCTCCCTCCCCAGCTCCTCCCTGCTCTCTGCTTCCAGGGTGCCATAAGGTGAACAGGCTTCCTCTGCCACACCCTTTCACCAAAGGTTCCAGCCTTGGAGCCTGCTGACCACGGACTAAATTTCCTGATCACGGCCAAGTTAATCAGTTAAGAGTTTACCCCAAGTGGGACTCTGGCAATGAGTCGGTGTACATACTGACCGCCAGAGAGTCACTCAGCATGTGACATTTCAACCACTCGATCCGTCTTTGCATGAGACACTATTACACCTCTTTATGTCTTTTATATTGATTATCTTTTGCATGCTTTTTAATTTGAAACACTATACTCACTTTTGATATTGATTTCTAGTAATGAATTCTGGTTGTTTTACTAATTTCCGTTTATATTATTTCTGAAAAATAACCTATAATTTTTATAACAATCTGCAAAAACTCTTACTGTAAGTACATTAGAGATAATGTTTAACTTCTCCACAACTTGGCGATATTCTCTTGCAAAACAAAATGGACACTTTGGGACGCCGAGACTGAATCGGAAGGCAGTGCCAAAAGACTTGCAAACAAACAAACAAAAAGAGCGTCAAGGGTAACACTGTTGACATATCACACAGAGAAAGTCTGGGTGATGAAATGGAAAGACAAAACAGACATCTCCTTATCCTCCACTAACTGCCAAAAGACTTGCAAACAAACAAACAAAAAGAGCGTGAAGGGTAACACTGTTGACGTATCACACAGAGAAAGTCTGGGTGATGAAATGGAAAGACAAAACAGACATCTCCTTACCCTCCACTACTCATAATACAGATATGATGGAACTTAAATGAAAAGAGGAACAATAAGATTCCAGTGGAGATGAACGACTGTAGTAATTCTACCGTGGTGTAGACAGAGTTGCCCAATATCTAACAAGCTATCCCATAATCAAAAAGGGAGGAATAAAATGTCATCATAAAATGTCATTTATTCACCTTCTGGGTCAAATAGGATGGAACCATTCATTATTTATTTAAAACAAGGAAGTTCTAAAAGTCATTCACGATTTAGATTAGGTCTAGTAGAGCAAATGATTGCAAAACACGGGGTAGCGAAACACCAAGCAGGATGTCCACCATCGATGTCTTCACCATTGCATTTAGTGGGAAGAGAGTTAATTGAATTATAGCACTCACCAAAAAAAGGAAAGGCCAGCACAACGGTGTAAAGTGTGCTGTTCAAAGAAAGACCATGACGCAAAAAGAATTTGGAAAGACACTAGCTACTACTTACTGTCCATGCTGTAACATGGCATTGTGTGTTAAGTGTTTTAAAATATACCACACATAAAAGGATCGTGAATAAATTTGATAAAAGTGTCCTTTAGTATATCCGCTTAGATCATCTTATGGAGAGTAATTTAAAACACACCACGAGAGTCAGCCTGCATAAATCACTGGACTGGTAAGCGACTAAACCTCACCTTTACATTGTGGGCGTCAGCTATCTTGTCCCAGTTACGGTAAGTGGCTACTACACCATGTAATAAACTGATATGGACATTTGGTTCTTCTGATGACCTCACACCTTCCAGCCCAAAGGTAGTCCCAGCCCTTCATGACTTCTGGGTGGAGGATCCTCCCAGAACTGCTCCCCACTCCCAGCAGAGCTCCCAGCATCCTGGCTTATGAACACCTCTCTTTACAGAATGCACAAAAAGAGCCTTCAAGGTAGACCGTGTGACAGTGTGAATGATGTCCTCCGAATAAGTCCACACCCTCTTGCCAGAACCTGTGACTGCTATGTGAAAGAGACTTTGATTGAGGTGATTGAGGACCCGGGGGTGAGAAGATGGCTCTAGGTCACTGGGGACCGGGATACCTAAGGGTCCTCATAAGAGGAAGGCAGGAGGAGTTCACGGAGGGAGGGGTTTGTGAGGACCATGCAGGCTGCAGGGAGGCACTGCCATGTAGGAGGGAGCGACTCCAAACGCAGCTGGCTATAAGGAAATAGTTTCCCTCAGACACTCAGAAGGACCCAGCCCAGAGACGACCTGACTTCAGCTCAGCAAAATTCACTTCCGACTCTCACGCCCACAACTGTAAAAGAATAAATCTGTGTTGCTTGAAGCCGCCAACGATGCAATGATTTGCGGTGGAAGCAACAGAAACATAATACACAGGCCACACAGAATAATGTTCTCAAAATTTAAATCCCACCCCTAGTCAGTGGGGAAGCTCGGTTCTTTCACCTGCAGAGAGACTGGACTCAAATTTCCATCCCACTGCCCTCTAGCAACACATTTGAGCTCTTTGTGTCTCAGCTTCCTACTGTTAAACGGGGATGATACTTTTGTGAGTGAATTCCTAGGAAGTGCTTCACACAGTGGCTGGCACAGAGTGAGTGCCCAGTAAGTGCTAGGAGAGTTTACCTCTATCAGAATTCAACTCTCCTCTCAGGGGAAATAGAAGGAATCCATTCTCACCCATCAATCAGCAGGAAACTACCCGGAACCCACACACCACTTCCCAGACTATCTGTGGACACACAAGCACTGACATCGAGGTGCAAAATCTTGAAAATGTTGTCTTTAAAAACCTATGATTCTTTCTAACTTTGCTACTAAAGAGCAGTTTTCCTTCCTCATGCAACTGAGGAAGAGATTGGAAATTAGATGTTGGCACAGATGTGCAATTTCTACTCATGCAAGGTCAGCGGGAGGACTCCAAGTGCACTCCCACCTTGGGGGGCGCACAGCCTGGTGGGAGAAGTCGGGCTGGGAGGTCCGGTCCTCTTGCCTGCCCCAGAGCCCCGGGGCAGCCCCGGCTCCTTCAGGGCTGCTGCTCTCATGTGCGCGCCAGGCAGCACTACCTCCTGGGCCTCTGGGTGCTGTTTGAGATGCATTTCTCTGATGGCGCAGGGCAGTCACAGACCTTCGGTGTCAGCTTCCCGCGGTGCAGTGCAGATGCACCAGGCAGGGCGGCTGTCAGGAGAGCTGGGTTTGTCCCACAGCACACTTCACACTTGGGGGTTCCTGGTTGGGATTAGGGGTGTGACTGAAATGTACAGTGAATGGTAGAATTTATAAAAACCCATTGGAGTAAAAGAAAACTTGCCATTCTTCGTCTTCCAAAAGCCCTGCTCCTCTCACACAATGGCTGTTCTTGGCCACATGTCTTGTTACACTAACAAGGATTTTTGAAGATGAAGCGTTTCCATATCTGTCAGTCACTCCTTGTATTGTGGGTGTAAACCTAGTAGCCTGATTTTTGCCCACATTGAGGCTCAGCCCGTCTGTGGGCGCAGAGAGCACCCCAAACAGTCCCATGGACAGGACAAGAGTGGAGTGGGCTACATGCATGGGCTGTGGGAAGCAGCCCTGAGAGGGATCCTCAGCACCAGACTGTAAGAAGAGCAGGGTGTGGGGCAGCTTAGTCCAGAAGGAAAGGGAAACCTGGAGCACAATTGTGGGGAGGCCAAAGGCAGGACAGGGCAGACAAGGAAGAGCAGGGAGTGAGGAGGACTTTGAAGGGACACATGAGTGCTTCTCTCATACTGTGGAAAATCCAGCCTTTAATCCTGCCATTTGGGGGAATATTGGTGAAAAAGAAAATCCCCAGCACTCCAATATCTTGAAGTTTATAGGTTTATGGACTTTCCAGTGCCCGGACAATCAAAGCAAGACTTCTAGCAGGAAAAGACCGGGCAGAATTGCTGAGGCCATGGAAATCAATGGAAGGTTCCCGCTGTTCCTGCAGGAGGAACGGACGTACAAGCCATACATGATACTCAAATCCAACTGGCAGGCAGAGGCAGTCGCACAGCCCATACCCAACGGGGAAAAGAGAGACACGCCAAGAAACGAGGCTGGGGAGAGAATGAACCAAAAGTTAATCCAGCCTCTCAGTCTTCTCCCCCTCCCGACCCTGATCCTGAGTCCCTCAGGATTTTCTCAGAATGCCGAGGACACAGGGCTCTGCCTTTCACATGAGAAGCACAAGCTCAGCTCCAGCTCATCCATGATTTTTGAAAGTTCAGCAATCACTCATGTTTCGAATGGCAACTTAGGGACCTGACTTTTCCCACATTGAGGCTCAGCAATTTTGTGCTGCTCAGAGAGCACCCCACCGTGTAACAGGGCAGGGCAAGCATGGAAGATCCTACATGCATGGGCTCTAGAAAGCTGTGGTACCCAATTTGTCTCCATTTTGAGCTTCAAGATCATCTTGTACTTGTGCTTCAACAAATCTTGGACAATGCACTTAAATCCCCATGTCCTGTTTGGCAGTAAACTTGCTGCAGTTGCAGGATGTTTGTAGCAGGATGTTTGAAAGTTCCTTGTGCCTCCCCCACTAATTTGGCATGGTTCTCTCTCTGTAAGATTTCACTCTTTTTCCCCTGAGCCCTCCCCAACTAAAAGCATGATTTAAAAGGAGAAATAAAACCACTTTTGATTGTGGAGAGAACTTTCTGGGCAGCAGCCCCCTATGCTCCCTTAAGGTAAGATCCCTTCTTGCAGTGGGCTCTAAATTTCTTGGGAGAACAACACCACGAAAACTCACTGCCCTTCTGCATGTCCCATGGGAAACTGGAGCTGAAAGCCTGTGCTGTGGTCGCCAAATGCAATCCACCGCCGTATCCCACACCACATCCCTGTCCCCCATTGATCTCCACTTTTCTGCACAGAGCACCATTATCCAGCTAGTTTCAGACTCTCCCTCAAAATCCTCTTTTTAAAAGAGCGTGTGTGAGTATAAAATGAAAATCGCAGAAAATTCATTCTTACCTTTAGGAAAAGGGACAGGATAACAATTCGAATCCTGAGGTAGAACTACCCTAGGTTTTTGGCATTTCCTGACTCACGAGTTACCAAACTACGACAAATGCTACCTTTGCATTACTTCGCTGACCTATTAATATGTGCAGTAAATATTTCTTGAGGATTTTAAAAACACAGTTTGCCTTCGTCCTCACCAAACATTCAGTCTCATGGTTTAGATAATTCCTATGTCCACAAAACGTTTCACATGTGGGCAAAGGAAGAACAGACAGGGCTGCCCCCGGCTGCACCACACCTCAGGGAAACACCATGGCCCCTCTCCACTTCTCTGAGCGGCGGCTGTGCCCTCACTGGATAGATATTCTTCTCCTGCTCAGAAAGATTACAAACTCTTCCTGATGGCAGGACGACAGCACGCAAACATGAAGTGCTTCCTCATGGGCTGGGGTAATAGCAAAGATGGCAGTGAGGGTGACAGCCAGCACTGGGGTGTCCCCCTCTTTGCCAATGAGCCACGGTCAGGATCTGGACACCATGGTGCTACTCATGCCCCGTGGTCTCGGTGTCTGCTCTAGGAAGAGTTGTCCTCCACTCTCCTCTCTCCTCTCCTCTCTTCTTCCTCCCGCCATAGCTGCACCCAAACCTTGCAGGGAGCACCTCGCGCTTGGCCCTGTAGTACAACTGCCATAGGTCAAAGTCAGCCTCCAAAGGGCCCCAGCGGTTCCCCTCTGCTGGCAAAGGTGCCTTGGGTGCCTGCCTCCCATGCTGCATCAGAGTTGGCCTCAGGCTGGTCTCTGAGACCCACAGGGAGGAGCAGAACTGATGACAAGTCACTCGTGAGATTACGCTATTGAGGGCTCCCTCTTTCTCTGGGTCTCCTCAGTGTCTCTGCGGGGAGCTGGCTGATGCACCCTCAGCCTGCAGAGAGGCCCATGCACAGAGGACCTGAGGCTGCCCAAGGCCAGGAGTGAGCAGGGAACCAGCTTCTCCCTCAGTCACCACAGCCCCTGTGGCCAGTGTGACTGCAGCGCCACAGGACACCCTGACCAGAACCACCCTGCTTTGCCACATCCAGGTTTCTGACCTGCTCCTGCAGATGGCTCAGGAACTGTGCCCTCTCAGAGAGGAACCCTGGAGTGCCTGGGAAGGGCCATACCTGTGCCAACCACCTCGATGCACTTCGTCTCTTCCCCCGTGCACTGTAGTTGGACTGGGGTACAGGACAGGCCGGTTGCATTGTAGCAAGCAGGGCACTCAATGCCATTGGGCTTTGAGGACTTCAGTGACACTGCATGAAGAAATGGAGAAAATTCCCAAGAGTCTATTCCCTCACAGCATAGTTATTCCAAGATTCCTTGAAGGAAGCACAAGCAGCATGGCATGGGAACAGGTTATGAGGTGGGGAAATAGAATTCAAGCAAAAGGATCCCATAGAACCCAGGGCTGTCCTTCCTGTCACCAATCACCGGCTGTGGCCTGGCTGGAGAAAAAGAGCTAGACAAGGGGGGAGGATCTAATCTGTGTCTGAAAACATGCTCCTAACAGGAGGAGGACTGAATAGAGGAGGAGTAGCAGCCGGAATGGCAGGGGGAGCATTTACACCTTCAGCCTCAGCCCTAGAGGAAACCCCTGGGTGAATCCCAATACCCAGCAGGAAGGGCTCACACCCAACCCGACCTTCACAGGGACAGCCTGGGGAAAGAGCACCAGGACCAGACTGACTTCTAACCCAGGGCTTGGGCCCCGGCTGGGCAGGAGGGGCACTCACGCGTGACATTCTCCTTGTTACACCGCTGGCCGTCGCAGCACCGGCGGTCATAGCGGAATGCCCTCTTGTCCCCGAGTGTCACCGAGAAGGCCAGTGCAGAACAGGCTCCCGAAGAGCAGCCTTTATTCTGGGCCAATAAGATTTGCTGTCCTGCAGGGAAGCAGACCCCACAGAGAATTTCCCTCCTGAGCCAGGGCAGACTGACACCAAGACAGGCAGCAGTCTGGGAACTGGAGCCTTTGTTTCCTTGATCTTCAGCTTTTCCACTTTTCCAAAGAGTGGTGCATTGTTCATTTCCCAGGGGAAACCACAGTGGAGGGGCTGGTTAGAAAGGCGGTCTGTGTTGGTGTCCTGACTGGGGCTTGGGTCACACACACTGACCCAGGAGGCTGGGCAGTGACCTGGACCACCCGAGCCTGTCCGCAGAGAATCTGTGTTGGCCTCATTCCAGCTCCATGCTGGTAGGATATTGTGAAAGGTGCCAAAGAGAATACAAGCTGCATCCTTTGTGAGCTAGGCAAACCCTTCACAGTCTGTCTCAGGCGTGGCTTACCTGAGACATTTAATTCCTGCTGGAGGCTGAAGCAGGCTTCTGAGGTGTTACAGGTCGTCTCCGGGTTAGACCAGCATTGTTCCCCGGAGCAGCTTATACACTCATAGCTCTCTGAGGGAGAAAGAGGCAATGTGCTCCAGGCAACTGCATCCTTTGTGAGCTAGGCAAACCCTTCACAGTCTGTCTCAGGCGTGGCTTACCTGAGACATTTAATTCCTGCTGGAGGCTGAAGCAGGCTTCTGAGGTGTTACAGGTCGTCTCCGGGTTAGACCAGCATTGTTCCCCGGAGCAGCTTATACACTCATAGCTCTCTGAGGGAGAAAGAGGCAATGTGCTCCAGGCAAACTGAAGAAGGAGAACACCAAGGCGAGCTCACCTCACCCTTCCCGTCTTGGGGAGCAAGACCCACGGGTTCATTCTTACCCACAGTGGTGACCAGGAAGGCAAGAGAGACACAGAGGGCGAAGACTGTCTTCAGGTTGGATGGCCAGAGCATGGTGACTGCAGAACCCTGCAAAGGCCCGGGCGGTGGCTAAGCGCCCTCACCCAGCAACCCCAGTGGCAGCCAGTGGTGCCCACCCACTCCTGCACCCACGACTTCATGCGTCCCTTTGGCAAGAGACCACTGAGGGCACCCGGAGACACACTCTTCGTCCCAGGAAGGCTTTCTGGGCAGGGCATTCTTTCCTGTGCTGGGTGGAAGGTGCTGGAGCTCCCCAGAGCTGGAGTGGGGTGCAGGGCAAGGCACAGAAATGACTCCTCCAGGGAGCAGGGCAGATGCAGCCTGTCTGTGTGTGGAAGGGCTCGGGCCATCGTACTGGGAGACCAGCAGCCTCTTGGCTAAGGGCAGGGCTTCCTCAGATCCCAGCCACTTCCCCAGCAGCCAGCCTCAGCCCACAGTGCACGTGCTCACCCTCAGGCGTCCCTGGTCTCTAGCAGGGCTTGCTTCTGAGCTGGCAGGAAGGAAAGTGACCTCACCTGGAGGGAAAGGGGAACTTGGCTTCTGTTGCTTACTCCCACTTACTTTCTATGCCCAGTATTCAAACAGTCTGTCAAGTTATGCTCTGTAGATAAGGCACAATCTTGGGAGGAATTCAAGGGCACTAAACCACAGCCATATTTCTGAGAGGTGCTGGTTCTGAGCCTGGAACTGGAAGGAGCAGGAAGTAAGGTGATTTTCATGAACTGTAGGGTAGGTTTCAGATCCACAGAGGAGTCCAGAACCTCTCTCCCTACTTTCATGGGCACCCAGATGTGCCATGTGGATGCCACTGCAGATCCCAGCCTTTCTTCCTAGACTGTGCATCAGTCCATATTTACTTGAGAAACAGATGCAACACAAGACATACAAATATTGTGATTTATAATTTTGGCTTACAGTGGCTGCACAGAGTCAGATGAGGAAGAGTCCAGACGGTCTGTCAGCCACTGGAGATGGAAGGGATTCGTTGCAGGTCTGGAGCTCGCTGCAGTGTCCTGTGCAAGTCTGTACCAGGAGGCAGAGCGGTCTGTGATGGAAAGCTGAACAATCTGCGGAGGAAGGCAGGCAAGGAGGTCTTGGGCGAAGACTGGAGCTCCTCTGGAGGAACTGAAGCAGCAGAGTCCTTCCTCAATTCTCCTTTATAACAAGCAGGCAATAATCCATCCCAGGGTGGGTCCTCCATATCCCAGGCTGTAGAAGAACCACCCTAGGGTGGCCCTTCTGTGCCATAGGGCCACATATATCCTATGGAATTGCTGAGTGAATTTTGCTAAGCTTCTCTAAATTAAACCTCTCGAAGTGAAGCAGTCGATCAATCAATCAACCATCGCAGACTCTGTCCCAGCTTCCTCCCCTTCCTCCCGTGAACCAGGCCCCATTCCCTTCTCCAGAGACAGACTGGTGTCCTTCTCTACCACGGCTCCTCCTTCTGCCAGTTTCATGATTGTCGATTGCTGTAGCAGAAGCTCTAGGTCAGGATGCTCTTCTGCAATGGCAGTGAATGGCTAAAGTAGAAGGGTTCACACCTTCAATCCACCCTCCCAGCACAGGTTAGACTGTGGAGCACACTCTGGAAGCACAGGAGGTGTTGTGGTGTGGGGGGCGGGGAGGGGCCCTCCAGGAGCCAAGGGAGCAAGGCCCACCGCGTGAAAGCAGCGGGTGGGCTGTGGAGGGATGGGACGGGCTGGGACAGTGCAGGGCAGCGTGCAGCTCAGCAGGGCTTTGCTGGGTTTGGTGCAAAGGCCAGGACAGGGGGAGGGGATGCGGCTGCCAACCCGGTAGGTTCTTGTTCAAACAAGTGGGCCACCTCAGAGGCACAAATGAGAAGAACACAGAGGAAAGGAGGTTGGTGAGACTTCAAGACAAGTACTGGATGAAAGATAAGATGGGGAAATAGCATGCCTAAAAACAGGAAAAGAAAATGGGTAAAGATCAGAAGAAAAGAAGAGTGGCCTCTGCCTACCAAGCATACCCTGGGTCTCTGAGCACTTTAACCTGGGGCAGCAGAGGGAAGCCGCACTGTCCCAGTGTCTGTCTCCATAATCTTTGGCTAAGGGCAGAATTGAGTTCTCCAAAATTCAGACACTGAAGCCAGACCCCATTATCTCAGGCGGCGTAGTGTGGAGAGTTAGGGTCTTTACAGAAGTAATCATTAAAATAGGTCATGTTTATCACGCTCTAACCCAATGTGATTCTGGTCCTCAAAAAAAGAGATTAGGACACAAATACACACAGAACTCCACGTGAGGACACAGCGAGACGATCACCACCTGCAAGCCAAGGGCAGACTTCCAGAAGAGACCAACCGTATAGACACCTTAACCACGGAATTTCCTGCCAGGAGATCTGTTTAGAAGATGAAGCAGAACAGGTTCAGTGCTGTCTCCTCTGAGTGTTTAGATCTAGACTATCCCTCAGAAGTCTCCTGTGCCCAGAGGTGGGGCTCGAGGGAGGTGGTTGGATTTCGGGTGGTGCACACATCCATGGGTCCATCAGTTGTCCGGTTCCTAGCTGCGTGTGCTGTGAGGAGGGGGCCTGGTTGTTGGAAGAGCTGGGTCTGTGAGCATGCGTCTTTGGAGAGCAGCCCTCCCTCCCCAGCTCCTCCCTGCTCTCTGCTTCCAGGGTGCCATAAGGTGAACAGGCTTCCTCTGCCACACCCTTTCACCAAAGGTTCCAGCCTTGGAGCCTGCTGACCACGGACTAAATTTCCTGATCACGGCCAAGTTAATCAGTTAAGAGTTTACCCCAAGTGGGACTCTGGCAATGAGTCGGTGTACATACTGACCGCCAGAGAGTCACTCAGCATGTGACATTTCAACCACTCGATCCGTCTTTGCATGAGACACTATTACACCTCTTTATGTCTTTTATATTGATTATCTTTTGCATGCTTTTTAATTTGAAACACTATACTCACTTTTGATATTGATTTCTAGTAATGAATTCTGGTTGTTTTACTAATTTCCGTTTATATTATTTCTGAAAAATAACCTATAATTTTTATAACAATCTGCAAAAACTCTTACTGTAAGTACATTAGAGATAATGTTTAACTTCTCCACAACTTGGCGATATTCTCTTGCAAAACAAAATGGACACTTTGGGACGCCGAGACTGAATCGGAAGGCAGTGCCAAAAGACTTGCAAACAAACAAACAAAAAGAGCGTCAAGGGTAACACTGTTGACATATCACACAGAGAAAGTCTGGGTGATGAAATGGAAAGACAAAACAGACATCTCCTTATCCTCCACTACTCATAATACAGATATGATGGAACTTAAATGAAAAGAGGAACAATAAGATTCCAGTGGAGATGAACGACTGTAGTAATTCTACCGTGGTGTAGACAGAGTTGCCCAATATCTAACAAGCTATCCCATAATCAAAAAGGGAGGAATAAAATGTCATCATAAAATGTCATTTATTCACCTTCTGGGTCAAATAGGATGGAACCATTCATTATTTATTTAAAACAAGGAGGTTCTAAAAGTCATTCACGATTTAGATTAGGTCTAGTAGAGCAAATGATTGCAAAACACGGGGTAGCGAAACACCAAGCAGGACGTCCACCATCGATGTCTTCACCATTGCATTTAGTGGGAAGAGAGTTAATTGAATTATAGCACTCACCAAAAAAAGGAAAGGCCAGCACAACGGTGTAAAGTGTGCTGTTCAAAGAAAGACCATGACGCAAAAAGAATTTGGAAAGACACTAGCTACTACTTACTGTCCATGCTGTAACATGGCATTGTGTGTTAAGTGTTTTAAAATATACCACACATAAAAGGATCGTGAATAAATTTGATAAAAGTGTCCTTTAGTATATCCGCTTAGATCATCTTATGGAGAGTAATTTAAAACACACCACGAGAGTCAGCCTGCATAAATCACTGGACTGGTAAGCGACTAAACCTCACCTTTACATTGTGGGCGTCAGCTATCTTGTCCCAGTTACGGTAAGTGGCTACTACACCATGTAATAAACTGATATGGACATTTGGTTCTTCTGATGACCTCACACCTTCCAGCCCAAAGGTAGTCCCAGCCCTTCATGACTTCTGGGTGGAGGATCCTCCCAGAACTGCTCCCCACTCCCAGCAGAGCTCCCAGCATCCTGGCTTATGAACACCTCTCTTTACAGAATGCACAAAAAGAGCCTTCAAGGTAGACCGTGTGACAGTGTGAATGATGTCCTCCGAATAAGTCCACACCCTCTTGCCAGAACCTGTGACTGCTATGTGAAAGAGACTTTGATTGAGGTGATTGAGGACCCGGGGGTGAGAAGATGGCTCTAGGTCACTGGGGACCGGGATACCTAAGGGTCCTCATAAGAGGAAGGCAGGAGGAGTTCACGGAGGGAGGGGTTTGTGAGGACCATGCAGGCTGCAGGGAGGCACTGCCATGTAGGAGGGAGCGACTCCAAACGCAGCTGGCTATAAGGAAATAGTTTCCCTCAGACACTCAGAAGGACCCAGCCCAGAGACGACCTGACTTCAGCTCAGCAAAATTCACTTCCGACTCTCACGCCCACAACTGTAAAAGAATAAATCTGTGTTGCTTGAAGCCGCCAACGATGCAATGATTTGCGGTGGAAGCAACAGAAACATAATACACAGGCCACACAGAATAATGTTCTCAAAATTTAAATCCCACCCCTAGTCAGTGGGGAAGCTCGGTTCTTTCACCTGCAGAGAGACTGGACTCAAATTTCCATCCCACTGCCCTCTAGCAACACATTTGAGCTCTTTGTGTCTCAGCTTCCTACTGTTAAACGGGGATGATACTTTTGTGAGTGAATTCCTAGGAAGTGCTTCACACAGTGGCTGGCACAGAGTGAGTGCCCAGTAAGTGCTAGGAGAGTTTACCTCTATCAGAATTCAACTCTCCTCTCAGGGGAAATAGAAGGAATCCATTCTCACCCATCAATCAGCAGGAAACTACCCGGAACCCACACACCACTTCCCAGACTATCTGTGGACACACAAGCACTGACATCGAGGTGCAAAATCTTGAAAATGTTGTCTTTAAAAACCTATGATTCTTTCTAACTTTGCTACTAAAGAGCAGTTTTCCTTCCTCATGCAACTGAGGAAGAGATTGGAAATTAGATGTTGGCACAGATGTGCAATTTCTACTCATGCAAGGTCAGCGGGAGGACTCCAAGTGCACTCCCACCTTGGGGGGCGCACAGCCTGGTGGGAGAAGTCGGGCTGGGAGGTCCGGTCCTCTTGCCTGCCCCAGAGCCCCGGGGCAGCCCCGGCTCCTTCAGGGCTGCTGCTCTCATGTGCGCGCCAGGCAGCACTACCTCCTGGGCCTCTGGGTGCTGTTTGAGATGCATTTCTCTGATGGCGCAGGGCAGTCACAGACCTTCGGTGTCAGCTTCTCGCGGTGCAGTGCAGATGCACCAGGCAGGGCGGCTGTCAGGAGAGCTGGGTTTGTCCCACAGCACACTTCACACTTGGGGGTTCCTGGTTGGGATTAGGGGTGTGACTGAAATGTACAGTGAA